TACCTAGGGGTAATACTAGACAGTTAATTAAACTGGAACTCCCACTTAGTCAAGACGCAGATCTGACGCAGTCGTCTTGGAAGGAACTGGGGTTTTAAACTACGAATAGCCTACATAGCAATAATCAAACCCATGGGCGCCTCACTGGTTTGGTGGCCAAAAACAAAACACAAGACAGCACAATAACAGCTGGCACAAATCCAGCGGTTAGCATGTCTTAATATAACAAGATCTCAATACCAATGAGACTTCCAACAACTGCTACTTGATCTCACACCACTTCATTTATACATACAAAAGGAGGCAGCTTTAAGTGCCTTATCATTGAAAACATGTTCTTCACTCAAGTTGATGCTTGGGTAACTTCAGAGGACATCTCGAAATCCTCAAGGACCCATGTCTAAACCACTTGATTGAAATTAAAACGAACCTTATACCGACAGGATATAATTTCGAGCCGTATCGTTTCGTCATATTTAGAAACAGGGATGATTGGGCGAAGGGTGAGCCTCAACTTAAAAGAGGAGCCCTTCACTGGTACACTGATGCTTCAAAGACAGTTGGATCCGGGGTAGGTGTGGGAATTAGTGGACCAAATAGCCGCATTAAATTGCCCCTCAGATCGGTTTTAAACCTAGAAAAGCAACAGAAAAGTGCATTGATAAACATTTTCGCAAACAGTCGGGCCGCCCTAAAGGTAATTCAGGCCTACACACGTGACTCCGCACTGATCAGAGAGTAACCTGAGAGAACTCGTCGAATAAGACTCAACATTTTCGATAATGTTCGCCTGACACCTACGGTCATAAAGGAAGAAGAGCTTAGAGCAATACTAAAGTTCATAAAGGATCTAAATTTGCCCTAAACTTTTGCAGAGCGTTAGCTACAATAGATCTTATAGGTCGCGGTGCTTCCCTCAGCCTGGCAGCAATAATAATAATAAATAATAGTAGTAAATTTTTTTAAATTTAATATCAGTATTTTATTATCGACAATGACGCTGAATAACAACTAAAACTAGTTGTGTACACTATATTGTGTTAACAAATACAGCAAATGACAAATTTTTATATTTTGTCCACCTAAATTTGAGAAATTGACCACTGTGTGGCGCTATATGTAGCAATCGACTGCTGTCGCAGTACTTACAAGAGGGCGTGATTTAACAGTTGGCGTTAAACATACGCCATTGCAGTTGACTGTTATAAAAGTGATTGTTAACATTAGAGAATTTTCTACCTTTGGTATAGCAGTAGCGAAACAAAATGGTGAAAACTGTGAAACGGATTGCGTTTAGTGAAAAACAAATTCTAAATTTAATTGATTTGTATAGAAAAAAGGAATGTTTGTGGAATACAAAGTCGCCGTTTTATAATAATCATGCAGAGCGTAGAGACGCTTTAAGATTTATAGCAAAATCGCTGAATTACAACGAGGAAACCATTAAGAAAAAGATTACCTCAATACGAGCAACGTATTTGCTCGAGAAAAAGAAAATAAAGGATAGTTTACTCGCGGGAAATGGAGCTGATACTATGTACCGTCCAACGGTAATATGGTTCGAGCACATGAATTTTTTAGATGGTGTTATAATTCCACGAAAAACAACATTAAATTTGGAAGTACAAACAACACAGGTAATTGTTTTATAGTATTTATTGCTATATTTTATTGGAAGTATAAACGTTCGGTATGTATGTAGTTTGATGTGGGGGTGAATTCCTTCACAGCACTTAGGCCCCAGTGTACATCCACACAATTTACAGTTTATTTAGGAGTCAGAAAACTAGCCCAAGGTTTTAATGAATGTTAGTATAGAACAGAATAATCTTTATGTTCAAAATTCGAACATAAAAGATTAGAAAAAAACTTTGGAAACGTCACCGTTGTGTCGCACGCGGTTGGTTGAAATAAAAATCAATAAAAAGTGCATGAGCGAGATGCCACGAGAATCTTATGCGCTAGAAGAAGAGATCAGAACGATGAACGTTTGCTATTACTACTGTTCTGTGGCCAAACAGTGACCACACTGACTTCTTTGAGTGAATACGATACTTTATCGCAGAATGAGTTCTTATCCAAAATGTAAACACGGCGATAATGGGGCCGTTACCCGCAAT